TACAATGACTGCTTCTATTTTGGAATTTTATGTTCATCTGCGACTGTTTTAGCGCGAGCAGTTTGCTTACGCGATCAGCAATTATTTTTTTCATTTCTATATTGCACACCGTTCTGCGGCTTTGTGTGTGTGCATTTTTTTGCCATTTGTTTTTGGTTTACCTTGAGAATTTTATATTTTTCTTCTTAGTTCATAGAAGGGTCTTAGGCAGTGAATTCAACACTATAGGTCTGTAATGGTAACATTTCTTGTGCACAATATTTATAAGAGAGAATGTACTGATCGATCACTTGCACAAAATGAAAATAAATTCGTTGCACATAGGACATTTTGCTTGTAACTGGTATTAATATTCTTCTATGTCCAAAACTGAAAACAAAAATAGAGATAAAACAGTTGAAGATTGCCGTTTTTCATAATCACTTTAGTATTTGAGAAGACCTTGAAATCCAAGGTTTCGTCGTGCGTATTTACACTTTATTGGCTATAATTTCCACAGAGTCGATATAGCGCCGTCGGAGCCGTAAACGTGCCGGCATTATTTCATAACTCTATGCTATTTCCATTTCATTAACAGATCATTGTAATCTACCCAGTTTTGATTAGATTTTCATTAAATTTAAAGCTTTCAAAATGAGACACATTTTAAGTTACATGTCGCTTAGCTATTGTGAAAACATTCATGCAATCCATAGTGATTATCTACTAGGAAAATATCAGTAAGTTTTCAGACTGCCATGTTGTTAAAGTTGTGTTATATCATAATTGTCACCATACATATATTAATACTTTAAGGTTTATATTTGCCTCTCTTTTTAGAAAAAAATCTCACAAATAAAACGTTATAAACAATGTGCAAAATTAGAAACGAATTGAATACCTGCAATAAATTTTGATTCATTAAATTGAATTCAATGATTTATTTACATTTAAAATAATATGCCTAGGCGACGAATACTGGAAAATCAAGCAGAAAGACGTCGAAGTAAGTCAAATTGTATCAGATAACTATATATATATATATAATTAAAATATTTCTTATGAAGAAGTTTTGCAATTAAAAGGAAATAAAATTAACATTTACAATAATTTTGTAAACAGATAATTTTGTAGTATTTTTGCTTTGCTCTTGTCATAGATGTTTTTTTAGTACATCATTTATTTATTTTCGACTCCTTTCGTTTTTAAGTGCCTACCAGATTTATTCATGCTCTATCGTATCGAAAGCTTTACTGTAATCCACGAAACAGCAGTAAAATATTAAGTTATATTCTTTGCCTCTTTCGAAAAGTTGTCTGATAAGATAAATGTGATCTAAAGTCGAATATCCACCAGTTGAATGTCCAAATGCTGACTAAATCAAAATTGTATGTGCCATTATATTGTTCTTAGAAATTACACTTGAAGTTTGGTTCCAATACATTACGTTTTGAATTTGGCAGTCTAACATGAACACCAATGTTTAAATTAAACGAATGCGAAGATAGCCTGAAAGAATTCATTCTTTTGTATCAATCGATAACGGTATCAACAACTATTGACTCTAGGCTCGATCTAAAACTCGGCTCCACCTTAGATACGATTCCGATAAAATACTTTTACAAACGTAGTGCTACTATTTTTTTCATGATTTCCGATGCTTTCTTTCTAATCCTGATTCTGCTCCCAATTCCGATCCCAGACCAATGTGTAAATTGCCCCTCAATTTAATATTATTGTTACCTATAACCAATCGGCATGAGTAAAGAATTATTAGGTCGATTCATTCTAAGGATGAATAGAATTCATTCTAAGTTCTTGCTCATGCAAGCATAGGCACGAGCAAAAACGAGTACTGAAATAAAATCAAAACCTGTATGTTATTTTGGTATATAAGCTATATTGCCGTTAAATTTTAGGTAATTTTGTTCAGCCGTTAAAGCGTGATGGAGTAACAAACATTCAAACTTTCACATTTATAATATTAGATGAATTAAACGCTATCTTATTCATCTCAAAAATATTCGCTATCAAATTGTAGGCATAGCAGAGTCAGACTTTTGTTCCCCATTTGTCTGTCTAACGTCTGCCATCGTCAACTTGAAAATTATTTAATGTAATAAACATTTTGTGCTACATAAAAGTGATTTTTATCAGTCATATACAATCTAATTTTTATTAATGATTGCAAAACTGACACCTAGGTGGGGACCTAGGAAAAACCTTTTTAAATTATTTTATGAAATAATAAAAATTTATAAGTTACATTATAAATTATACGCAAGTTATAAATGATATCGACTCGTCTCATTTTTGTACAAAGAAGTGTCACCCACCCCACACGGCACTCATCCTCGCGAGCAGCTCTCATTAACTAAGTAATTGTTATAATTATCCGCTGTACCAATAAAATTATAACATTTTTGAATACTTATTTTAATTGATGAAATACTATCTAGTTATGTTGTTCCATAAATGAAAACATTCCACGTATTGCGTAAACTAAAATTGACAATAAAAAATAAATATTTCATTGCTTACCTGACTATTTAAACATACTGCTGTCTTCTTTCAAAATACCTTCCGCCTTGTTGAATGCACAATCTATCACGTTTAAGCAAATAACTTTTTAATCATTTAAGTTTGACTACAACCAAAAATTGTAGCGGCTTGGTAAGTATTAACTTCGGGATTTTCCTCAAGTTTTCTTGTAGTTCAACATTAATAATTAATATTTATGATTTTTAATAATTAACAGTCACGATTTATGGAAGTCGGAGGGTTGTATGGATTGATATTAAATTTATTTATAAATTATAGTGTACTACTATAGTATAATTCCGTATTGTTTACTAGTGAAATGAAACTAATCCGATTTTCGAATGATTTAAAAACACAAGAAGGCATTTCGTTAAAAATAAAGCAACTGACTTCTCAAACTATTTCAGATTCAAGTGCGGAACCAGGGGGGTCAAGAGGGTCATGACTCTCTCCACGCTGGGTCATTGTCTTACTATTTGTATTCGAATTAGAGCCAGTCCTGACTGAAGTTTGTTAGTCACAGGGGTCACACATAACCCCCGTGACTTGAAGGCTGGATCTATCCTTGGTTAGATTATGAACATATTCATGCTTCTCACCATTGCAGGGTCCATTTTACGCACTCCCGGATTATAAGCATAGCACTTATCAGTACATTAATTTTGCTCGTGGAATCATTAATTTATCGAAATTTATTCAAATAAAAAAAAAATCTCAAAAACAGACCGTTAAATATTGTTTTATAATATATATAGTATGTAGATGCAAACAAAATAAGTTGTTTGAGTTCGTAAAATAGTACGTGAGACGAATCCCCTATCTGTTTTCAACTCTATTAACGAGATGTTAGTCTTTATCGTAAAATATGTTTTACGATGACTTTATCGTTATTCATTATATATTGAAGATTTATAATTTAATTATATTATATAACATCGTAGTTAAACTGTGTAGTATCACGTAAATAAAATGTAAATAAATATTTAGGTTATCAAAGTAATGTTTTATAAATGGGCCTCGATGACGAAACTTGTTCACAAGAACATAGAAAAACGAAAGAGTTGACAAAAATGAAGAATCGTAAATTATATTAATTTTCTCGTTATTGTGATTGCTTTTTCGATGGCATGGTAGTAATTTGTGGCAGTAACGACTGCGGCTATGCAATTTAAGGTTGCATTAAAATAAGTTTGTTTAATTTGAAACTGAAAATTAGTTTTTTTTTTAACCGCAAAATTGCAAATAATTTTATTTTTCCACATCTATTGACAGTAAAAATCAGATTATGTTGGCAGTTAAAGTATTTAAACAATGATTAATATGTTGTTCAGGAAGATATTTTGAACAAAAGGCACTAGAAAAATAAGGGGAAGCAGAAGTGGATTCACAACAGCGTCCCAGTTTTGTTACTTAGAAAATTCAAATTAAAAAAATGAATTTATATTAAGAAAGTAGTACAACAAAATCATAAATTCAAAAATAGTTTTAAATTCAACATGACATTGATAGATGACAAGTCATTTAAAAGAAGATTTATGTGACTAAAAAAAATTAAAAGATCTATTGATAAGATTCCTAGAGGCAAAAAAGTTATTTTACTTTTAATCGAAACGAATGTTGAAACTATTATAATGTCATAAAATAATCAAATTGATAAATTAGTTATTTTTGGGGTATTAGGTACCTACCTGTCTATACTAGTTCAAAGTTAATCCAAGGTAAACTCATGTAAAATAGACCGGAAATAAAATCACGATATAAAGAAAAAATAACAAAATCGCCAAAGCCATTTTATTGGAAAGTAATTATTATGTACAAAAAGGTTTTTTTATTGGAACGAAATTCTTTATCGCACGTTTAGATGTTTGGTAGTACATAGTTGTTTAATAATATACTTTATTATGATAAAAGTCAAACCAAAGTCAAATGTCAAAGTCAAATGTCCGACACGTATCTCATAGTCGTATTTTCTAATGAATCGAGAGCCAACGTCCATACCACGCTGAATACACCGTCCGACCACCGAAGTTAAGCAGCGTCGGGCGCGGTCTGTACTTGGATGGGTGACCGCCTGGGAACACCGCGTGATGTTGGCTTTTTGCTGCATTATTTTCGTTAACACTAATAACTCTTTCATTTTTGGTTATAAAGTAATTAATAATAAAATGTTTGTTTTCATAACTTAAAAAATACAATTTCCTTAATTTTTTGATGTGAGACATCTGTAGGTAGGTTGGACTAGGATAAAACCAAGATGTTTCAAAATTCAGGAGACGCTTGGTTTTGACTTAAACGTCTGCGCCTAGCGCTGTGCAATGAGGCAATACTGATGAAATGTAATACTAAATGTGGTTAATGAAATTCATGGTCTTTTCATTCGTAATACCTGCTTTCTCATTCCATTTATAATAATACAGTATACAACAGTGTTGGTGTTTCACATCTACCAAGTTTCCCCTGGCGCACTAATTTTGTTAATTTCATACTATCAAAAACCGTTATTTTATTTTATTGTGCCTGTTATTTAATACATAATATGTCAGTAGCGAAAAAAACTTTAGTTTATTTTTTTTATTTACATCTAAGGAAAATCACTCTACTCAGTGTAATTATACTTTGTCGTCGCTTTTCTTGAGTTTGAATTTGCATTGTCGACAGAGCCTACAGAGCCTATATAGTTACATTTGATGAAATAAGTAGATAAGTTCCTTTAAGTTCCTTTGAAGTAAAATTGTGAGCATGAACTTTTTCCAAAAAAATTACAAGACATGAAATAACGAATTTAAATGTTGTTTTTGATGTGAAATTTCTTTTGGGATGGTGTGAATTGGCTTTTATGAAAAGAAAATGTGTAACGAAAAAGAGATAGCTATAAATGTATATATAGGTTTTGGCTGTGAGAGAATAAGATAGAATGCGTTTTTATTTAGTTTTCTCCTGCATCTCCTCTTTATGCAATGATTCGTAACGGTTTGCGTCTCCACTACTATACCGTTGTATACGGGCCCGTACACGGACTCTACATACCAAGGAGACTAGACTGCATGGTGTATACTATATTCTTTTTTTTTTAGTTTAATCCTTGCAGGGATAGGGGGATAAAAAACCTAATGAAATGCCATGCACTCGTGTGCGTGAGGTGTATCCGACAGACAAGGACCAAAACACTCTCGAAGCAAAATGTTGGCTGGTGGTTGTCGGTATAGCTCCAATATATTGGGGCTTTGAGGACTTTGTCTACCGCGGCCGATCGGCGTAGGATGCCGTCAGCGCGTGATTGCCATATGAACAAGATTGGCATAGGAAATCACGTAGAGATTCAGCACGGGCTGAATTCTCTAGCGGAGTGACGGGAGCTCGGGAAGCGCACCGGGTGGGTAACTGTTGATGTTGACCTTTAAATTAGCCTTTTATTAGTTTTTCGATCTCAGAGGTGAGCTCGTCGGGCGGATCTGAAAAAACATTCCGTGGCCTTTGGATAAAATGGAGGTGCCTTGTATGATAAGGCTGACTGTAATAATGGGTTTTGTAACTATGTAGAAAAATTTTTACGACATATCTGCATGTATTTTGAGATTGCAGGGAGTTCTAGATCTCTATGAACTGTACCATTGGATGTACTAAGGTGCACCGGAAGCTCTTCTGCAGAAGTTGCTTTGCAGAATCTGAAGTTGATGGAGTGTGCTTGGGTCGGCGTGGGCTAAGATTGACGCTACGGTACCATCACCGACGTATGCATACCGCAATTTATTCCTAAGACTCATTTTGCTCTTTTTACCGCTAAGGCGTGAGCGTTTTCTAACACGCTTGATGTGATCTAAGAAATGAAGACGTAAGTCTAGTGTGATTCTTAAATATTCGTAATTATGATGGAGTTGGAAAGTTGTACGGTACAGATTCTTTCTTTTTGATTTTACTGTAGTTAAAGAAGATAACTGCTAACTCTTTCGGGTTTACCTCGATTTTCCAGATTTGGATCCATCGAGTAAGCTTGTCGATGGCCTTCTGAAGAGGAGGAGTGATTTGTGTAAAATTGCTACCGCGTAGGTATAGAGTGGAGTCGTTGACAAAGAGCGCGAGTTGGACGCTTGTTTGCAGACGTGGAAAATCGTTTGTGTACGTGTAGTAAAGCAGCAGGGAGAGTATGGAGCCTTGAGGAACTGTGCCTCTATTCAGTCTTTTGGCAGATATGCTATTCTCATACAGGAAGAAGAAATGTATGTTCGTGAAAACAAGACGATCTGGGACTTGTAGTTGGTGGAGTTTATAAATTAGGTTTGTGTGCCATACTTTATCGAATGTCATAGCGACATCGAAAAAGACCGCCACGGTTTTATGTTTGCATTTAAAACCCTCCGAGATGTATTCGACTAGTCGAAGGGCTTGTTAGGTGCAGGAGTGATTTGGTCTGAATCCGAACTATTCGATGATAATTAAGCCCTTTCCTAATAGGTGGTCACTGAGTCGTATTTTATTAACTTTCTCGAATAGTTTTCCTAGACCGCTCAGGAGGCTGATCGGCCTATAGCTAGTGTGGAGGTCGCGAGGTTTTCCCGATTTCGGAATACTAATAATAATGGCTTCTTTCTACGCCTCGGGAAAGTAACAATTTTTTATGCAAGCATTAAAGATTGCGACCAGTAGCGCTAGCAATACCGCGGAAAAGTATTTAATTGCTTTATGGTTTATCCCATCCAGGTTCTGTGCTTTTCTGGGTTTTAGGCTTTTGATGAGTTTTGGACCTTATCTGCTGAGACCGAAGGAAAATCATCTTTGGGAGGTAACAAAAATCTACGAAGAACTTCGTTTTCGGCACGGTTTACGTGTTCAGGTTTGTGGGGGCAGGATTTAGTGAACATTGTATTGTACTGTAAACAACTGTGAGAGCATGTGAAGTTTACATTGTACTATAAACTTCACATGCTCTCACATGCCGATGTGCCCGCCTAAGAGGCACCCATAGGGCAGTCACGCGCCAACGCTATCACTATGTCGTAAAGGCCGCGTTTTAGATGAAGGCGTCATAGCGTTTTGCTTTCGTAATCGCAGAAAGAAGTTGTTCAGGAGGTTTTTAGTCCGTGAGAGTCGGACACACCCGTGTGCCCGGGTCACGGTCGGCCCATAATGGGTTTTTCTCGTCCTTCCTCACCCCTTTCGCACGGGGACAACTACAAAAAAAAATGTCTTCAGGCCAGTTCAGTTCAGTCAGATCGCTCGCCCCAAACGGACACCCCCGCGCACTCGTTCCCAGTTCTCTTTGCCTTAGCTATTGCTCACAATTGTGTTTTCTGTGTAGATCGCCGCCCCCACTGCTCCCCGCGACCATTACGATCCTGCCAATTGAGAGTCCGCTGCGCCGCTGGCCGCCACGCTCTACACCAATAACAATCCATTTATTTCAGCTTTTAAATTCGTACAGTTTTTGAAAGTTTATAAAAACTTTCACAAACAAAACCAATTTATTTAAAATCCCTTCAGGTCAAATACTGGCTACCTAACGGTGTCAACAAGGTGATTTGCAGCGAGGTTTGGGCGCTGGTTTTTCCGCTTCAGGAAACGGAAAACCTGGATGGACCTGTTATCACCGGCCTTGGAGGGCGCTCCTAACCGACAACAGGTGTCGGTTGCCCACCCTTCGATATCCCTAAATCCATTCTTCGTCCCCCGTTTGTTAGGTCTATGGGAGACCTAGCTTGGAATCGGAGCCGTTAGGGCTGCTAAGCTAAAACCCGCGCCCCCGTAATTGAAAATGAAAAACATTCAAAACGACTTACAAAACGACACATCGCGTTAGTCAACGCCCAAACAGGCCATTGTTTTCGCCGAGCTCTGGAAAGCTCGCCGGCCGGCCCGGGTCGTCTATAAACAGTCATTAGATACCTGCGCCAGCGGCCGTCGGCCGTCACCCAAACGGTCAAGCGCGACCGTTTTCATCTAATAATTTTTATTTATTAATATTATTCAAAAATAAAAATTTTACTGCTAATATTAAATTAATACCAAAATCGCACATAGATAAGACCTCCCGCCTACAAAGGCGAGGGGAGGTGATCAAAGTGCCCATGGTCACTCTGCCCAAGGACCAACTGAAAACTATTTAATCAGTTCCTATCGGAGAAGGGTATCGCAGTACCCGTTGACTCAATAAATGAGTTTATCACCGCTGCTACACCAGCGATGAACCCCTCGTGCGCACCCTCACCGTCTGTAGCCAGCGGTAAGCACTACGCCAGCGCCGGCTCCTCCGACGCCTCTACGGATCAGTTTGACGGTACCGTACGGGGCTTGGACAGCGAACAGGACGACCCCTTCACTGCCATTGTCATTAAAAAGAGATCCTCGCCGTCACGACAACGGTGACGCACCGATAATAGTTCAAGTATGGACATAGACATCCAACCAGCCGCGCCGACTATTTTCACCAACTCACCTGCGTCCCCCGACACTCCCGTCACCCTCGTAGCTCATGTTTCGGTCTCCGCCGCCAAACAGGTAATCAGTGGATTCGATTCCGCCAAAATATCCGGTGCTAAGCCGACGGTCCGCCCAAAAGCTAAATACCTACCACCCATTTATCTTCTTAACAAAGGGAAATAGAATACAGTTTCTTCTGAGTGCAATAGATTGCACATCAACAATACCAGTGGGCACAATATGCTGCACGTTATAAAGATATCAGCCAACTCTATATCGGACTTCAGGAGCCTCAGTAGCCTCCTAATAAAATGCAACTTCCCCTTCCACACATACGCGCTCGGAGAAGAGCGCAAAATCAGGTCGGTATTGAGAAACATTCCGCTAGAGATCTCAACGGACTAAATAAAGTCAGATCTCGAAAATCAAGACTACCCCGTCTTTGCGGTACACAGGATGCACTGCCGAGATGGCTAAGAGCTCGGCCTCGTTATGGCAGTACAGCACAAATGATATACTGTCAAAGACATTTTCAAATCCCCTCCCAAAGTATCCGGTCTTAGCGGTATCACTGTAGAGGCCCCGCACAAAAGCTCAAAATTGCTATGCACAGCCCCACTGTGTTAAATGCCGCGAACCTACAAACGCAAGAATGCCAAAGCAAAGCCATGCCATGCAG